TAAAAAATAAAGAAAATACTGGAAATGTGGTAAAATTGAGAAATTAAAATTTTGAAATGCTTTAATATTTTAATGAGATAATAATTTGTTAAATATAAATCCTGGTTGCGCAATTAGTAAGTCTGAATTGGCAACTAATAAAAAAATTTAAAAACAAAACCTTAAATGCGTTATAACTACACCTTAGCTCATTTCCCTGTTGGTATAAAACCAAAAGGCTGAGATACAATAAAATTGTAACACTTACATGTTTTTATGTTTTAATGAGATAAATTGTGAATATATGTTTTCAAACAAAAATGGAAAATTAAAGCTAACATTCTATAATTGAATTATATTCGTTGGATAAATCTTGAAAAAAGAAATCCAAGAGGACATCTTAGGGATACAGAGTTTGGATTTAAAATTTTGGCTATTCTAAAAAATATACTACTACAAAAAAGTGAAAACGAAAATATGAACTCGCAGGAAATTATCTAAAAAAGAAAAATGATCAGAATGAATCATAGAAATTACATTTAGAAAGAAGCTAGGCATATCTTATTAAACTTCTATCCATTTGTTTTGTACTTCATCTGTAACAATTTTTTTAAATTCAAACAATTGCCCAACCAAGGGGTGGGCACGGGTCGGAACGGTTTGGGTTTTATATTGTCCTGCATTTTGTCCAGTATTTTTCAAACAGTTCGAAATCGTTCGGGATACAAATTCTCTCTCTTTGTCCCTTAATATTCAGGATCGGGATTAAATGGAACGGGATCGGGTTGTCCTATTTTGTCATTTTCCTAAATTATACTTGTATATAAAAATACTCTCTTTGTCAATATATATTTTTCTACTCATAAAATATACTCATGAAATAAATGATATATTTATTTAGAATGTTTAAAAAAGGCCAAAACAATAAGGAAACATGAAAAAAATATTACAACATACGTCAAAAGTCCACACTATAAACTTCATATTTATGTGTCACCTTTATGCATGTGTGTGAGTTTCGGATCGCCGTTAAAAAACTAAAGCCACTTAACAAAATTTTTGAAAAATGCCTGTTTTTCGTAAATAAATGAAAGATGAGATTATTTTAGGTAATTTTTTTAATTTCTAACATTAAATATGTTTTTATAAACAATACTTCACCAAATTTAAGTGTTTTCTAGAGTGAAACTAATTATTATTTTAATAATTGATAATCTGGTAATAATATTATTTTACACAATTGAGCTTATTTATTTTCTTCATAACTCAGTACATTTTTTAAGTTGCAATTGTAATTCTTAAGCGACATTTCAAATTATTTTTTGATACTCTACTATTACTATAATTTAAAAAACGGTATTACAAAACTTGTGAGTATTTTTCGATAATTCTATAAGCCCGCCCATGCTACATAATTGCATGCTCGACATGCTATAATCCTCTTTCATTCCTCCAAGCTATTCACACATTCGTATGTATGCTCGACTTGCTATAATAGACTATAATTGGTAGAAGTAAATTATGGCAAGATCAGTCACCCGGGCAAACAACCCTCCTCCCAGAAGAATTGTGTTATCCCCCCGATCCTTATAAAGCGAAAGAGATGTCTGGTGATCCCTAGGTGCACGTGCGGTCGTGAACTCCTCTCCTATTGGTCGAGTGACTTCATACCTTTTCAAGGGACTCCCGTTGGTCGAATGAGTTTTCTTACGTTCCATGAAATGAGTTTCACATAGTGAAATGAATCTCTCTCTTTCTCTATGTACAAACCACCTTAGACGGGCTTCCCCCATCTTTAGCTCTCATGTCTTCATTTCTTATTTTATCCATACGTGTGTGACCACTCATTCATCGAAGATTCTCTATTGCGGTCATATTAACCATGTGTTCATGTGCACCCTTTGTAGCCCAACACTTTGTTTCGTAGAACACTACATAGGATGTGTTTTATACCCCGAAGAACGACAATTATCCTTCCACGGGTGTGAGTTCAATCGACGACCCAAATTAATTTCATCCTCTTCTTAACGTTAGGCACTACTCCCTTCATAACATCTAACTAATGTTGAACACGCAAATTTAAAACATGACATGTGCACATCTGGTGCATGGATCTACTTATGGTGCCTGTAAGAGGGCAAAATTTTGCAAGTCTAAAAATGATAGTGATGTTATTAGTAGCATTGTCAAAACTAAATGCAAACAATTTATCAAGCAAATTTTATTTTTTTCAAAATACGCTCAAGCGAAATAACAAAATTATCATCCGAGAATTAAAAGTACCAAGAAAGTTAGCCTAATTAGTTTTTTCCCATAAACCCAATGTTAGCTAAAGAAGATATTCGTATTTGATTGTTCACCCTTCATCTTAGCCGCTTTACGTGGTGCTTTGCTGTGAGGTGTTTGTTCACCCTTCACCTCTAGACAAATAAGCCATCTTTTTCTTTTAATGACAATCCTTGGCCCTTCCAAATCCAAAGTCAGTTAATTGTATGGGAGGTTAATATTTTGAGCAATGTTAGGGGTACACCTTTGGTGTACCCCAAATGTACATCACCCCCTTCTTCACCACTCATTTTTATTTTATTTTTATTTATTTATTTTTTTGAATTTCTTGCCTTTTTTGTGGATAAGGAGGGGGTGGGGGACAAATGGGATACACATTTGGTGTACCCCTAGCATTTTTCTAATATTTTACTTTGACCCAAATCCCAAGTAAGAGCAAGAAAAAGATAAGAATATCAATTTTCTTTTTCAAAAAAATAATTTTACTAAATTAAAACATGTTTTGCCAAAAAAAAATCACCTTATTATTGTTTCCATTAAGCTTTTTATTAGTTGTGAACTTGAGTACACAAACCTCTACACTTCTAGAACAAATTTTGAATCTCGAATGGATTCCATTTCGCCAATAAGGCATCTTGATATCATCTACGACAATTTTTTAATATATCTATGAAATATACTCACTCGGTCTTGAAACATTTTTTCCATTTTTATTTGACTAATTTTAATTCAAATCAATTTATTTGATTATGTATAAAATTAAAAAATACATATTTAAAATTATATAAAAATTCTACAAAATAAGAGACATCAAGACTTTATCAAATACTCCCTCCGTCCAAAATTAAAGTTCCCATTTTGACTTGGCACGGAGTTTAATAAAACTTAAAATTTGCTTTGACTTTCCAAAAGTATCCTCCCTTATCCCACTAAACCACCCCTGCCAGTCTACCACCCATACTCCTGAGTCCCGTCCAACCACTCTCCCCTCTCCCATTATTCCAGAAGACCAGAACAACCCAGAAGATGAGAATAGCTATGCCCGCACCAATGTAAAAAAACCGGAGATGACTTGAAGAAGAAGAGGAGCTTTCATTGATGCTGACTTGCTTCACAGATTCTGAATCGAACCCTGATGTAAATTGTTTAGATCTGACGGAGATTTGAATGATTTGGTGACCAAATCCGAAAAGGGGGAGGAAGAAAAGAAAGATGAACAAGAGAAGTAAAAAAGAAAGAAAAAATTCGTTGGGTGAACAAAGTCTCTGTTAGCTTATTCGGATACGGGTATAATACGTCTATTCGTACGTTCGTGTATAATACGGACCACTTTTTTAAAATACGTTTTATTATACATTTTATACGTTCGGAGTACGTATACGGATACGTTCGTGTATTATACGTCTGATATTTCAAAAATACGGCTTATAATGAATGCATATATTTTTAATAAGAAACACATTTTAAACTTTGAAATTGAATTAAATACATCATAAAGTTCTAAAAATTTAACCAACACTACGATTTATTGTTTATTCATTTTTTTCATGTGTACCCAAAGGAGATCTTTCAATCTAATTATTATTGTGTACTTTCACAAAATGTATTCAAAGTAAGAACACATTCNTTTTTGAATTTAGATCATATATATATAATCAAATTTGTATTTTTAAACGTGGACAAATATTTAATCTTAAGGACTAAATATAAAAAATTGACCACATTTTCAAAATCTAAACAAATAGAGAAAAATGTTGGTCTACTATTCGCTAGTGCAGATGCAATGTTGGATTTTCAACCGGAAGAAACTGGTAGGGTGTAGGTGACATTTTATTAACAAAAGGTATTGGAGGATGACTTGAACTACAATTCGACTTTTAATACTTTTATAATAATTGAGTTGCCAAATTTTAAAGATTTGTATTTTTGCAGAAAGACAACCAATTTAATTGATCTCATCTGAATTTGACCCCAATGATTTTGCAATATAATACGTATAAAATTCGTAAATACGTTTAGGGTCAAAAATACGTGTATTATACGTTCGTCCCATTAAAAATTCGTATTCGGGAGTATAATACGTGTATAATACGTACAGGTGTATAATACGTGTATTATACGCGAATAAGCTAACAGAGAACAAAGTAAAAGGGGGGACGGAAGAATAAAACAAAGAGGAAGAAAAAGAAAAGTAGAAGAACAATGAAAAAAATAGAGAAGAAGAAGAAGAGAAGATAGAATCGGAGGAATCGGAGGGTTCTAGAGAGAAGAAAAAAGGAGAGAAGAAAAAGAAGGGAAGGAAGAAGGTGTGGAGAGAAGAAAAAAGAAGAGAAAAAAAAGAAGAATAGGAAATTGGGGGAGGGTGGCTGCGATTCTGCGAAAGGGGAAAGAAAGAGGAGAAAAAGATAAATAATAGGAAGTGGGGGTATTTCTGTCATTTTAACAGGGAAAAGTTTCCTAAATTAGAAATGGGAACATTAATTGTGGATATCCTAGAAAGGAAAGTGAGAACTTTAATTTTAGACAGAGGGAGTAACCAACAAAACAGATAAGAAAAAGTAATTAAAATTTGACGGTTTAAATAGAGTAACTAAGAATAACATTCTAGAACAAAGGGAATATTAAATAAGTGTTCGGCACTTTTGAAAACCAAAGAAACCCAAAAATAATCAAAATAAAAACCACATAAAACTGAACTAAATGACTAACGGCTTATATATTTGTGGTGTAAAACCAATCCAATAACTTACCTTGCATTATGATTTTAGTTTCGGGTGAAAATCAAACCACCAAAACCACAGACATCCCTAGTGCTTTGGTTAATAAGCATACTAGTACTTCGATCTTTAAAAGAAAGTCTCCATATTAGATCAAACAAAAGGCAAAAAAACATATGTCAAGAAAAATAGATGTCCAAAAACCTTTGTAGAGTTCACATAATGGCAAGAACAAATGGACTTCAAAATTATAAACGCATGAATTAAGCAGCAGCGCCAGCTGCCTTGCCCTTCTTCCTCTGAAGTTTCTTCATGTAAAATTCAAGCTCTTTGCCCTCCAAAATGTACCTACCAATGTCACATAGAAAGGTTAAAACCTATAACAAAAAAAGAACGCAAAGCAAATAAATCTATACATAGTATTACGAAATGGGTTTGGGGATTTACCCGTCAGCTCGGCCACATTGACCCGGACGAGAGGAAATGCACGCCATGAGCCTGCCTGAACCAAATTGCTCTTCAAGGTGAGGATCAAGTTTCCTGTCCTTTTGACGGGTCTCAAGTTTCCTCAAGACATGTTTACTTTTCTTTGTTTCTTCAACACCAGCAGCTCCTTCCCCAGCCTCCTGTCATGTATAGTTCAAAAGGACCAACACATGTAAAAAATGTTAAGTTTGTAAGGCCATATTCTTCTCAACTTACTTTTTTTTACTTATTACTTATTACTATTTGAATAAGATGACACAGATAATAAACATTTTTAAATATAACTACATTCCGATAAGATGAACCTATTCCAATAAGATCAAAACCATTCACATCAGGTGAAGAGAACATGGCATAAACCATGTAAGTTTCAAGTCCTTTTGACAGATCTGAAGTTTCCTCAAGACTTTTTTTTTGGGGGGGAGGGGGTAAAGTAAAGGAGCACTATTTGTACTCTCAAAATTTTGGTATTGCCTTCTAAGATGAGATGGTAACTTTTGTTTTGTTTAAAATGGGTATAGGTTTTCCAATGTCTATAAACGATAGAAAAGATTGAATAAAATGAGCCCTCTCAGCCAGCCAGCAACACGTACATGCATATACCATTCCCATTAGAAATGCAAATACTTTGTAGAGCATGGTATGACATCACAAATTATAAGCATCAAATTACCTCGGTAGTTTCTTTCTTAGCAGCTGCCTTCTTCTTCCTGCCGATGTCAACACCATAGTGCTGGAGATACCACTGCTTAAAGGGGGCAGCATCAACTTGAACAATTGCACTCTTCACCAATGTCTGTGTTCGGACAAGCTCGTTGTTCGAGGCATTGTAAACCACATCCAGGATACGGGTTTTCCGTGTAACCGCCTCACTTCCCCAAGAATAGTTCCCTGTGTCCAATCTCAGGGCTCTCCATTTCACATTTCCACCACGGACACGGACCCGTCGGACAGTTTTGTTGCTTGAGATCTTTGTGTTTGCCGGCTGACGCCCAAGCTCATACCTTTGAAAATTCAGAAAGAGATCATTATAAATAAATACAAAGTATATAGCTACAAGGTCTGCATTTTAACATCACAAAAAATCAGTAACAAATTATTGTATTTGGTATTGCTATGAAATATTCATAAAATGAATTCATACCCTAAGAAATCTCAATGAAACACAGCTGTAGCCTAAAGATTGTGAACTATTAGTTGATTCATAACGAGACAAAATAGGGTTTGAATTCATTTAAACAGAAATGAAAATAAGATGCTCTTAGACAGAGTGACATTCATTTTTAGCTCCCAAGAACAAATCACATAAATAATTTTTTGAATGCATCGAGCACGAACACTGAGGAATGGAAGAACTTACTTTCGCTTCTTCCTCCATGCCTTCTTCTTTCCACCAGTTTCACGCCTCTTGTGCATAGAATCACGAGAGATACCTTTTCACACGCACAGAGAGAGAGATCATCAAATCGAATCATTAAAAAAAGCATCAGAACAAAAAACAAAGATAATTTCTGCATCTACAAATCTTCAATGTACAGATCATGGTTAAGAGATTGTACCCATCTTTGCTTCGCGTTACTCAGAGCTCGGCAGAGCCGATGCGCTCCAAGTATGTATATATAGTAGAGGCCGTGAAACCTAGACGAAGAAGAAGCACTTGGAATTAGGCAATTCTATGGGCTATGGCCCAATTAAAAACACTTCATACAAATCCATACATTACTGATAAACATAATCAATACATAACACATTCTCTACAAAAGTATTCGGAAGCCGGAGATCGGAGTAGAGAAAACGGAGTACCTGAAAGGAGCTGGTCGGAAGGAGGCCGGAACAGCGGGAGAGTTCGTGAAGCCATCTTATAATACGGAGTAATACACGGACAGGGATTAGGGTTGGGGAATTGGGCTACACAGAGATATGGTTCATGCGTTAACCGGCCCAATAATGCTTTTTACTACGGGTTGACTTGAACGTGTTTTACCTGCACAAAAAACATTTTTATCAGCATCTTTAATAGTATTACAGTATTACTCATGGTCATGTTTTCTTATGTTTATTGCTGCATATTTATCTTGTTCTATTGATGCATATTTATCTTGTTTTATAATTTATTTAATATTTAATCAGTAAAACAAACTATTCACTCCAGAGAATTAGTTAAGGACATTCTTTTTACCATGCTCTAGGCCTAAACAACTTCCTATTTATGAGTAATTTTATTTTCAAGTTTCTAATTAGTATTTCCTTTGTTTTGTTTTTAAATGTTTCGGTTCACGTACATTTTGATTCATAAATGTCTCGTGTTATATTATGCAAAAAGGGAGCACCCCGGCTTAACAGAATAATGAAGAAGTAAATCACAATCTAATATTACCCCATAATTCTTAATGATCTATCCCTTTGAAATATGCATTGTTTTCCACCATATTTTTTGAAATCTTTTGCCAAAAAGAAAATTTGATGCAAGGATGCTATTGATGTAGTGAGGGAAAAAAAGAACATTTTTAAATTCAAAAAAGCTCTTATCATCTCGGCCAGAGGATGATAAATTTCAAAAGATATATTAATGCCTGCAAGTATCGGATGGTACATATGGGAATGACAAAAATACCGGGAAGGAGATAAAATGCAAATTGATTACTACAGTATAATAAACTTGAAGGCCAAATAGAATTGCAAAGTCAAGTAACAAGCACTGGAAATAGAGAATATACAATTTTTAATGAGAAGAGTGGGGTTAGAGACAAAGGCCAACTTGTAAATTGGAAGCATTGCCAATATTTACAAGAACAATAAATGGCCAACAAGATCATATATAGGTTTCGTTTGGCATTAGCTTCAACGTTTTGAAAATGCTATCCACTAGTAGCTGGTTAATCTCCACCATTAAACAATTAATTGAAAATGCTAACACTAATAACAAACGTTGTTCCCAAACGAAGCCATAATCTGCCAAAGAATTAACCAGCAGGAGGCCAGAACTTGTGGTCTTGAGATGGATCGCGAGCCGGTGGAGTTAGATACGGCTGCCACATGGGAAGATAACCAAAACCGGGCTGATATACGGCAGGATGGGAAGGCAAGAAACCAGCAGGCGGTACAGCCACCGTTTTCAACTGCTGTTCTAATCTCTCCTTATCCGCCTTCAGTTTCTTTTTCTCTTCACGGAGTTCATTCTTATCAGCCTGTTTAAGAGAGAAATAAATAGAGTGCGATTTGCTTCACTCATAGTACATTTTTAAAGCAAATAACATAAAGCCAAGGTAAATATTTCATTTCACCAAACATAAATTAACTCCATAAGTTGTAGCATGATGCACATAAAAATCAATAAAAGAATAAGACCCACACTAGAAACAACTTTAACTAAAATCCGATTAGACCAAATCTTGATAAAACCTAACTTTTTGGCCCAAAAAGGAGTCTAGTTTTAAAAGTCAACTTTAATTTCTATGTAGCAATAAGCAGTTTAGTCACTTACTCTAAAGTCCAAGCAACCTTAGAGTTAAGTTTTAGGAGTATATGTGGACATTCATATGTTGTAAAAGCTTGTACCTTGATTGAGTTGATCAAAAATAAGTTATACCTTACTCAATCTATAATCTTTTTTTGGGACTCAGGGAGTATTAATTTGCACTGAAATATTTAACCAAAATGTCACATTTGCATCAAGTGCAAACATATGAATGATTCTCCAAGTTTATATACCGAATCTATCCCCATTCCCAACATAGATAACTCATTCCTCTAGCAAGTTAACTTCTTTATATGGCTGTAATTTAACCTCAAAACCTTTTCTTACTGTGATGCCTGATGAATTAAATTTCTGAAAAATATCTCAAAGTTAAGGCACAACAGCTGAATATTGAATTGCAAGATTGACCTTTAAACTTTTGATCTCTTCCAAAAGCTTTTCATTCATTTCCAGATACTCTTGAGAGTCAGTCTTTAACTGGTTTATAACTCTAACAGCATCCCCAAGTATTGCCATTTTGTCTGTTTTCACGGGTCTGTCAGGTTGTAGAACAGAGCATAGATCTGCAAATCTGCATAAATTATACTCCGTATATTCATTATCATATTTCACAAGAATGATTCCAGTCTAAAAGTAACAAAATCGCTAGTGTTTGCTTAGCAGTCATCCAAGCTTCTATCAGGGTACAATATACTCCGACCAATCTCATATCAATATATCATCATGAATATACCTGTCATTCAAATTTTGCCTTCTTACTTTCTCACGGCAAGCTTTAGTCCCCAGTTTACAGCATATATCCATGTGTCTCCTATTAATCAAAAGAGCAATAAAATAAATAGACACAAATAAAATACTCCGTAATAGTTAATCTATGAAGAAAACAGCTTCATAAAGTGAGCCTTTCATTGCTTGCTTAGTTGCATACAACAACAACAACAACAAACCCAATAAATTCAACAAAAAGTAGAGTTTGGGAGGTGTGTGTACACAAACCTTACGATGGTGATTGGGAGTGTGGTAAATTGTTGAAAAAGCAAAAGTTTTAAGTAGACGCAGAAAATAGATATTTTTAACTTTGCTTAAAAGCACTTTTGGAGCCCATTCTAGATTGCCAAAATCATAATCTATCAGCAGAAGGAGATTGGCAAACACGACAAATGGTTTTTTAATGAATCAAAACCTCATAAGCAGTTTTTAAACGCAACCAAAAACACCCTCTACATCTACTTGAAAGCAGGGAACCTGTTTCGAAAGGACCCCTAGTTTAGGCACAGTCAACGTAAACCAACAAAGAAGACACAAAACTCGAACAAAGTGGTAGCAAAGAGCAAACAAAGGACAAAGAAAAGTGCAAAGAGACGAGAATCACAAAAACCGCCTGTAGCAATAAGACACCGAGCACATAAAACACACTAAAACAAGAGCACAAAGCACCCACACAAAACTACAACCAAGGCCCAAAAGACTACCCTAATACTCCAGTCTAAGAAGTGAGAACTCCATCTAAGCTCTACTATCTTAGGTCATATTCTTGATAAGGACCAGACTAATTAATCACCTCATTCCAACTCTTCTTAGGTCTAACCCTTCCCCTCACCCACGCATCCTTGCACTAAGGCCTTTGCACTTCTCTGCTTCACATGCCCAAAAATAAAATTAAATTTTGAGAAAACTGATTCTTAGGTTTCCTTGGAGGCCATGATGTGACCTCCCACGAGGCGTGTTGCAGTAACAACGTCACAAGTTAATCTCAAGGTTCTACTATTCCAGCGACACGCAACAGATTTTACTTTCGGAACTCTGCAAAATGTCATAGTTGATAGTTCCTAAGTGAGTAAAGTAAATAAGATTTAACTAAATTAATCTAGAAAAGCCAAAAAGTCTGTGAGACTGTCAAAACTTTTGACTAAACTACTAAAGGATTTCAAAAGTAACACTCAATATTTTTTTACCAACTTCAATGATGTATTCCTTTGACAGATAAGACAATTTAATAGTTACGCGTACACCGAATTATAAACTAATTAAAAAAATCAGAAGAGTCTCAAAACATCAAAAAATATTATATAAAATGATTTTGGAGTTGATTGGAATTATTAAACTCCAACAACAACAACAAACCCATTAACATCCCACAAAAAGTAGGGTTTGGGGAGGTGTGTACAGACCTTACACCTACTTGAAAATAGAAATATTGTTTCTTGAATACCCCCAGCTCAAGTACCGCGATTATTAAGTTAAAATTAAATAATTAAACATCAAATGAGAAACTTATGTAAAATTGGACTGTAGAAATCCAGCACCAATTACCGGCCATGTCTAGCGTTGTTTATTCATTTCACCCACAGGCAGTGTGAAGATTTGAAGGTTTGGAAACAGTTATAGGGAACCTGGCAACCGCTATTCCTTGTCTAGTTATTAATTTATTTCTATACTCCAGATTGTTTTGGCCAGCTTGGCGCAGCTATCCTCTGCTTATGTGCACCATATATAAACCATCCAGAATGTGCATACAATTATACCATCTATTTAGACATCTTTTTATTCTATATAATAACTTCAACTCCCTATTCTGATTTAGTATATCACATCAAGCAAGAGAATAGCATTATGAGCACTAAGACACCTAAGGATTTTTGTTTTTCAGAACTTAGCTTGTTCTTAGTTTATTCCAACTCCACATTATCAAAACTTATAAGCATAGCATTAACAAGAAAGCCTTAATAGCAAGTGATCTCCCATTATAAAGTAGTATCCCACTCTCCTACATTACTTTATCCATACACAATGGTGCCTGACTAGAAAAACTAAAAGCTGAAATTGAATTCAGAATCTTGAACTTGGAGTGAAAAGCTTAGGAGTCTTTCACAAATTGTTTTAGCATTCAAATCATATGAAGCAAAGCTCTAATTAGATATGGATTTGAGTACCTCTTTCTTGGGCATTCTGACTGCAAATATTCATTTCCTTGAGATGTAGTGCCATGATGTGATGTATCCACTGCATCTGAAGATCTACAAGCCAATAATCATTTGAGCATGAGAGAAGAAAAAGAAAAGGTCTATGCATCATTTTCTAATTATGAAGATGATCTAGTAACATGTACAGTGTACTCGCCTAAGTCTCATCAAATTCCTACTTTCTGTAAGACAAAAATGAAATTTAGTTTAATTGAAAGCGGATCATTTGATATCAATCCAAATAATGCTCAATCAGGTCAGGAGTTCAAGTGACACAAACGCGCCATTCAGTTTCAACTCGAAAAAAACCACAAATGCGTCCAATTAATGCGCAGAGTCAACAAAGCAGAAACATGAACAATCTCCTCGGATGAACGGATTCGAGAAGAGCTCAATCAGCGAGAAAATAAATAGCAATAGTTCCAGATTCCAAACGATTAACCACATTTCATGATCTACGGCTGGGGAAACGATTTACCTCGACGAAATTGAATGATGATCCAATAAAGGATCGGAGCAGGGAGAAACGTCGTTGACGAAGCAATCGAAATTAGAGAGGTCCCAATTGTGGTCTTGAAACGAATCCAAATCATCCATCGTGTGGATCTGAGACGAATTGAATGGTATGATCGATTGAATGATAAGAAGAACGGCGAATCCGACGCCGCAGAATTTTTGTTCGCGATGATTAGGGATGTGGAAGAAAGAAGACGCCGGACACAGTTCCCCTGCCGAATGTGAAAGTGCCACATCTATACTAGAACTCCAAAAACGTTTTGATTATGGAAAATGCTAAAAAACCCCACCCTTGCTACCATTCATGTCCCCCTACATAAACATGTCGTAGGGAGGCAAGAAAATTAAAATTAGAGGGTGGATGGAGAATGGGTAGAGATAAATATGTGGTGGAGAAATGGGTGGAGGCAAGATTGGTAGCAAGGGTGGGGGTGTGTAGCATGGTCCTTTGATTATTTCCCATTTGAAAAAAAAATACTCCCTCCCTCCTAATTCTTTCTTCCAGTTTGACTTTTCCCTATTTTTAATTTTTGGTTTTGACTTCAAATTTTACCCTCTTTTACAAAAAAATTTGAACTTTTTTTTGCAATCATTCAAAATATAGAGTTAGAAGATAATTGGTGTAAATACATGAGGGTATTAATGTCATTTGTCATCTTTTTTTTCTAATAGGAAGGTAGTTTTAGGACAGAGAAAAAAGGGAAGTGGAAAGAAAGTTTTAGGACAAAGGGAGTGATATTTTTCCTCTTAAACAAAAAATGATCATTTTATTAAGAACCATACAAGGGTACACCAAAAAAGTATACTCTAAGTTGTATCCCAACGAAATACATGGATATTTTAATTTAGTTCAGTTAAAAAATTTACATTGATGTTTTTTACCAATTTAAATCATCACACTAAAATCATACTAGCACAAAATATCGATACATAATTTGAGATAAAAATGAGGTTCAAATTTTAGTATGTAAATAGTTTATTGTGTCCTTTTATTAAATAAAGAACATGAATACAAATGTTCAAGGGATGGGAAGAGACTCCATACTCCTTAAAAATTAAATAATCAACATAAGTCAAACTAAGGTAGTAATTTACTCCGTATGTGATAGAATTTAAGATGGGTATGGACAATTGGATTAAGCAATAAGGTACTTGAACTGAACCACATTGAAATATTGAATCCAATCGATCAGTTAGTTCAACTCAAGAATTTATATACCGATTATTTTACTTTTGGACGTCCGATTGGGATGCACTCTAACACTCCCTCTCAAGTGGACAACCGAATTATTTTAAATTTTACTGATTCACCACTTGCAAATGAACTTTGATTGTCTCGACTTTTTTAGCGTGAACATCTAAAAGACCACGAGCCACTGGGTCAGACGAGCAATGGTGTTAAACGGGCCACATGTCGTTGGATACATACTTCATACGGACAACTAGGCTAAAGACTACTGGGCCGCTAGAAATGAACATATAGACGGACACCTGGCATATAAGGTGGGCCAAAACTTGTTTCGATACCAGGCTAAACGTACATCAAAACAATAAAAAAAGAGACGATTAATAAAAATCAACAAGCATATGTCTAAAGTAACTTCTTAGTATGACTTTAATGATCAAACCTTTGAACTTTGACCATATACTATGAAAAAATACATTGATTTTTCTTATAAATTTAATATCAATAGATTAATTTTGAAACATATTTCTAAAATATTTTATTTTTATAATATATATTTATATATAAATTTCAATACTAATGGTTAAAGTAGTGTATTGCAGGCCGTGAAAAGTTAAATGAGAAATTAAATTTAAGAAGAAGAGAGTATAAGGGCATAACCAGTCATTTTAGTGACATAAAAAATGGATTGGAATGCCAATTGTAATTTTCTCTTTTAGTTTATGATATTCGTTTTAAGTTATTTTTAAATCATTTTACATGAAAAGTTGTAAAATTAAAAAATACAAATTACATATTTAAAAATTGCATCAAAAAATCTACAAGACTAGTAGGGACGTGTCTATATTAAAGAATATTTCATCAAATGACTAAAAAAAATAAAAAATAAATAAAATTTAACAATGGAAATAATAAATAAATAATTTAATTTAAATGGAAAAATTAAAGATCAATAGCCATTTATATGCCATTTAAAGCACAATAAAAGCATCAAAGAAATTAGAGCCCCATAAAATGGCGATGGAGTGTGCCGACAAGTCCACTCTCCACTTCCAACGGTTGACACTTTGGTCAGATTGGTCAATTCCACGATTGAGTTGCGTCCCAAACAAATACAATCCGCCACTACCATTCTACAGTTTCAACTAACTAGTGCGCTGCTTTTAACAATTTAGCTTTTGCTTTAGGTGAAAGTGATTTTATTTTGTTTGGCATGTCAGCTTTTGCTTTTCACCATCATTATTTTGTACATGGAACACCGTTTCGAAGAAGCAGGTATGTAGTGCTTTTACTTTCAGCTTTTGTAGAAATCACTTTATCCATAAGCTAATCACTTCCAAACAACTCAAAACTTATCGACGCAAGTGGCCACAAAATTTTCTTCTCAATCCATGTTCGAATTTCTTTTTCCTTTTTTATTTTGATCAAAACTTTTTGATAAATGTGCTATTATTCTATTACTCCCTCTGTCCCGGAGTATTTATTCACTTTAGACTTTTTTCGGTCAAAACTAACAAATTTTGAACTTAAATTAAATAAAAATGATACTAGATATTGATATAAAAATAGTTTTATTAGATTTATTATATAAAATATTTCCATATTATTATTTTATTTAATTAATATACAATATATATTTTATTTAATTATAGGTCAAAGGTTGAAAACGTTTGACTAAAAAATTTCAAAACAGGACAAATACAATTACTTTTCATATGCAAGATTCATTCTACTCCGGTATTATATTAGATCAGGTATAAATAAGGAAAAATCTTTATATTTTACGGAGTACATTTTTTCTTGATTTTTGTACCAATTCAAAATGAAAAAGAAATCATTGAACACTGGCAATATAAGATTGAACAAACTCGAAAGTCGTGAACATTTGTGTGTGCTGAACGCACCATAAGACTAAATGCGTGTTGTTACTAACACTAATTAGAAATTTTAGAGAATATTTTATTTTAGAAAATAGGGAAATTGTTTGTATAGAATCGTGTTAATAATTGACAAGAAAGTTGGAAACTTTTTGGGGATGGAGGTTGGTGTATATCTAGAGCAACTCCAATGGGTCTTGTATATTGTAAAAAATACATTATATACAAGATCCTATAGCAAAATTGTCACTCCAATGGCTAGGGCAAAATTAACACTATATTGTAAAAAGCAAGTCTCACCTTGTATTAATACACTACATGCTTTTCCCATCTTGTAAAATCATTTTTTATATATATTTATTAAAATACATTTATATTTCTTGTTTCTTATAAAACTACTCAATATATGTATAGTTTGAAATGCATGTACCATAAAAATTTTAAAAATATAAATATTATTACAAATAAATATTTTAAAAATAATAGTATATATTAAAAAGTGTATTATTTAAGAGAAATGATTGGAGGAGCTATGAAAAAATGGAATGCTAAAACACATTTGGTAGTGTAAAATACAATATACACTATCAAAATTTACCATACCCATTGGAGATGCTCTAACCTCTTCATTATCCCCATTATCCATAAGTAGAGCAATTTACAGTACTCCAAAACTGCCTGATTCCAAACTGTAGCAGAGGAAAGAAATTATGGTTGCAGGGGAGCCAAAGGGAGGCGGCGGTGGGCGGAGATCGATGGGGAACTTGCTTCTCCGTGTTCTCACCGGCCGGTGGTTCATGGTCTTCGGGTCCCTTCTCATCATGGCCATGGCCGGCGCCACCTACATGTTCGGGCTCTACTCCGGCGAGGTCAAATCCGCTCTCGGGTACGACCAGACGACCTTAAACTTGCTCAGCTTCTTCAAAGACCTGGGAGGCAACGTCGGGATAATCTCCGGCCTGGTCAACGAGGTCACGCCGCCGTCGGTGGTCCTCCTCACCGGAGCAATCATGAACTTGTTCGGCTACTCCATGATCTGGCTCGCCGTGACGCGGCGCGTGGCGAAGCCGAAGCTCTGGCAGATGTGTCTATACATTTGCGTCGGAGCCAATTCCCAGACGTTCGCCAACACCGGAGCTCTGGTCGCCTGCGTGAAGAACTTCCCGGAGAGCAGGGGCGTCGTCTTGGGACTGGTGAAGGGGTTCGTCGGCCTGAGCGGCGCAATCATCACGCAGCTGTTCCACGCTTTCTACGGCGACGGCGACCGGAAATCTCTCATCCTGCTCATCGGATGGCTCCCGGCGGCCGTGTCCTGCGTTTTTCTCAGGACGGTCCGGTATATGAACCCGGTCCAGCAAACTGAAAACGACGCCAAAGTGTTCTACAAATTCCTCTTCATATCCCTCGGCCTGGCCGGCTTTTTAATGGCCATTATCATTGTCCAAAACAGAGTGGCATTCACCCGGCCATTATACGTTGCGAGCGGGACAGTTGTCCTCATTCTCCTCTTTGCTCCTCTCTTCATCGTCTTCAAAGAAGAACTCAAAACCAATCAGAGAGATCTGTTGTGTTCCTCAAACTACAACAACGGATCTCCTCTGCCGGTAGAAAGTAATGAAAACCAGCCGCCGCTGCCGTCAGCTATGGATGACGAATCCAAGCAGGAGACGGCTGCTGGCGGGAATGGGTGTTTTAGAAATGTGTTCAGTCCTCCCCCGAGAGGGGAGGACTACACGATACTGCAAGCGGTGTTCAGCGTGGACATGATCGCGCTGTTCACCGTCACGACGTTCGGGGTCGGGGGGACCCTGACAGCGATCGACAACCTCGGGCAAATCGGGAAGGCCCACGGCTACAACACGGAGAGCATCACGACGTTCGTGTCCCTCGTGAGCATATGGAACTACCTCGGCCGGGTCGCGGCGGGGTTCGCCTCGGAGTACCTGCTAGCCAAGTACCGATTCCCCCGGCCGCTGATGCTCACGGCGGTGCTCGTCCTCTCCTGCGGCGGCCACCTGCTGATAGCCTTCGCCGTCCCGAACTCCCTCTACGTGGCCTCCGTGATCGTGGGGTTCTGTTTCGGGGCGCAGTGGCCGTTGATCTTCGCCATCATCTCCGAGATCTTCGGGCTCAAGTACTACTCGACGCTGTACAACTTGGGCGGGGGGGCGAGCCCGGTGGGAGCGTACTTGCTCAACGTGCGGGTGGCGGGGCATTTGTACGACAGGGAGGCGGCCAGACAGCGGCTGATCGTCACAGCCGCAGCGGCGGCCAAGGCGGCGGATGAGGAACTGAGTTGCGTAGGGGCGGAGTGTTACAAAACGGCCTTCCTGATAATCACGGCGGCGACGGTGGTCAGCGTCCTTGTTTCTTGCATATTGGTGGTTAGAACAAGAAAGTTTTACCGGGGGGACATATACAACAGGTTCAGATCGGAGCAAGGTGGTCGTGGGTTGGAGATAATAATGGAGGGAACTCGATCGTGATGTGGAGCCCGGATCCAGTCAATTATGGGTGGACTCGCACCCATTTCAATTTGTCTAGATTTGCATGAAACTAATTTTGAGTCTAGTCCAAAAAGACGGGGTGATGACGAGGGGTGCTCCGGTGCCCCGTCCTTAAAATTAACGGTTCTTACCTCCGAATCTTTTGATAAACCTCACATCCCGTCCCGACTTGAACACGCCCCCCACCACTTTCAATTGTATCCCAATGTTAATTTTGACTCCAAAGTTAAAAGTTGACTCTAAAACCAAAATTAACTTGGGGATGCAATTGAAGAAGGTGGGGGAGCGTTTTCGAGTCGGGGCGGGGTGAAGGTTTACCGGGAGAGTAAGGGGCTAGGAACCGTCAATTATACGAACAGGGCATTGAAGCACCCCCGGGTCAGCCCATGACATTGGTTCCCAATGTAATGGGGTCCAAAAATACTTTCAAATGCTATCAGCATCTCGGCTCTACATAGAAACAAGAAATAAGTACACGGGGAAACACCCCCAAAATAATTGAGAAGGAGAGAGTCAGTGAGATGAGATTGAATGAGTTGATAAATTAGAAATGGAGAATTGATGAATTTATAGACTTAAAATTTTAAAAAAAATATTTCCAGAGAGACGTGGAGACCAGATGCAATGGACGACCACCCATTGTACGCGCGTTGACTTTTTTTAGCTCTAATGTCTTCGTCCCAAAATAGTTTATAATTTTTAGTTGCATTTATTCATAATTTTTGTTTACTTGTGCTTTTGTATTTGTCATTTGGTAAAATAAAATATCCATGTTACATTTTCTAAAAATTTTGATATAATTTTAAAGTATATATAATTTTTATTTTCTATTTCTTTAATAACTTATAAATAAAGATATTTTAAAAAACTTGTACATTCTTTGAACTCTTTAAATCAATCTGGAATGAAGAGAGTACTCTTTGTATGATTTAAGTAAAATATATCACCTTAAATAAAAGTAAAACATAAAGAAAGTACAAAAATAAAAGTTTCATTTTTTATTTCCTCAATAGCAGTTCCTACTGCAGTAATGTAGCACTCTACATGATCATTTTATTATATTTTTTTGGTAGTGTACATAGTCATGATTGATAATGTAAGTACATTTTAACTCCTATTTTAGAATAAAAACATGAAACTTCTATTTTAGTATATTTTCAATATTTTACTTTTAACTTAATTTTTTCCCTTAAAACTAGAAGTTTATTAGTATGTATTAGAACTGGCAAATCGGTTGGTCAGGTCGGGTTCGGTCACTTCAAGTTCGGGTTATTTCGGGTTCGGGTTGAGAACTGTATGTTTATGACCCAGTGTCCTCGGGTTCAGGTCGACCCAACGAGTTAAAACTTTGGTTTTTAAATTTTTAAATTCACATTAACACTTATATTTTCTATTAAATAAATTTAATATATCAAAAATATATATATTAAATCTATAAAATTATTTTATTTTAAATTCTGAAGTAATTTTTAGATGTATAAATCAATATAAGGAATTTAAAAATTTTGACCCATTTTTAGCGGGTCATTTTGGGTTCGGTCAATTTCGGGTTCAGTCATCATAACTTTTGTTCAAAACCCAATGTTTTCAGATCGGGTTTCGGGTCAAAAACAGGTCAGATCAGTTTTTGCCATGTATGTATTATTGCCATTTCGAAAAAAGAAAGTATCGATTCATTAGGTTACCGGTCACGTCCAATTTTGATGTTATGTGATACAATTTGATAATAATTTGTCTTATTGAATATTGAGAGATATGTTCCTATATATAGGGATTACAAGAGAGAGTCCTATTCCTAATAGGAAAGGAATAAAGTAATTATGGTAATACAAGAATAAGGAAACTAAATAATATTAGGAGTCTTCCTATTATCCCCCCGCAAGCTGATCAACGGATACGAGGGGCAGCTTGAAACACAAATAATGGAACGGAGTCGGCGGAAGCGGTTTTGTCAAGATGTCAGCAAGTTGCTCAGAAGAAGGAACATGATGTGTAGCCATAGTGCCAGCCATAACCTCGTCTCGAACAAAGTGACAGTCAGAGCCAACATGCTTCATGCGATCATGGAGAACGGGATTCTTGGTGACACAGATTGTGGACTCATTATCACAATAAATCTTAGGTTTCGTAGGCGGAACATGCAGAGAATCCATAATATAACGAAGCCACATCGCCTCTGCCACCCCCGCGGCCATAGCGCGATACTCAGCTTCGGTGGAGG